GGCACTGGGCAGCAGTTCCGTGTGATGAGGAGGCGGGGATTACACCGCTCCCACTCATTGGCTGCTGCCCGGCTGGATGATACTTCACGCTGCGCCCGGAAACCAGTTGAGGGGAGCAGCGTGAAGCATGTAGGGCCCAGGACAGGAGGAAGAGGTCCCGGTACTGACATTAGCGGTTACTGGGATAATAAATATCCTGGTAATCACCGGTTACCAGGGGCCCCTTCCTCCTGTCCTGGGCCCCCTCCAAGTGGCGGAACTCCAGGGCCCGGTCGCGGCCACGACCTCTGCGACCCTGGTAGTTCCGCCACTGCCCCTGAGTATACACACCAGGTACACCCCTGGCTACAATTCCAGCTGCATCCATGTATGTGCTTATGCACATTTATGCAGTTAGGACACTTAAAAGTACTAAGAGCTGAGGTCACCTCTGTGGTGTCATCTGTGGGACATATGTATGAGGGCAGATCATGCAGTATCCCCTGGCAATAACTAGCTATTTTGAGATTGTCTGCATTGCTGCAGATTGGGAATAAACCTTGCAACTTTTACCTGCAATTTAACTGTATCTAAACAAACAACAAGTATACTTCAACTCTCCCAAAAAAATTATAATCTAACAAAGAAAGTCCCTAGTAGTGGTGGCATATAAATGTTTTATTGTTTGCTTTACTATTCCCCAATACTTACCTTTTTTTGCATTTGGACCCCCTGTTCACCTGCCTGTCCTGCTTCTCTTCGAGGATGTGAACAGCCCATGATTCCTTAGGGCCTGTGTACACAATAGCATGGCATTAAAAGCACAATACTGTGTGTTTAGCACATGCTACATTACAGCGCACCTAGCGTTCGGTACTGTGTGCTAGGTGCTTTGCGTTGCCATTCATTTGAATGGCATCCGAACGCACTTCCTGACAGCTGTGTATTGCAACACAGCTTGTAGCACTGCACTACCATGCATTGTGATGCGGTGAAAGAAAGTGCATGCACTGATTTATTTTTAAGGCAACGCAACATAGGGTATTGTGGTACCATTGGGAGGTGCGTTGGGGTGCTATTCAGCGCTAGGTGCTTTGTGCAATAGCGTGCACTAAACTCACGGTTTTCTGTGTTTAACACAATGCATTGTTGTGAATGGGTACTAACTTTGATAAGGACTTTGGGTGGCACATCAGCTTGGAATCCACAGGCAGTACACATGCTAAGGTGATCATGCTGCTTTTGCTTAGGGAGCCCATCAGAGAGCTTTGACCCTCTAGGGCAGGAAGTCGAGGAACTGCCAGGACCACCAGCTAAAAAACATGCAAATGTAATCAAAGAAAAAGCACAAAATGACACCACTGGAATCAGTGGGAACTGGGAAGTAAGCGAATAGTCATATTTTATGACTTTCATTGGTTAGGTCTAGATACACTTAAAGAACAAATACTATAGATAGGTTTGTGTCTCGAAATCCCATTACAATTATGCCGGTTCATTATCATGGACAGTGATTGTACAGCTGGTGCTCTGTCTGCTTATTTTGCTTCCGTTGGTTACTAAAAGCTTGAGGCTATTTGTCAGAACATTAATGTTTGCTGCACCTTTCTGCAGCCACTGTTGTTATTTAAGCTTGCCTTAAAGGAAACCTGTACTGAGATGAGAACAGTGGCTGTTCTTGTTGGCCTGCTTCTTACAATGCTAGTTTCCTGGCGGCAAGCTGAGACTTTCTCTACGTTTTCCAAAGCTGGCCATACAACTATAGCCTATCTGCAGATTTTCTATGGTCAGTTGGAAAAAGTGCAACAGATTCCTCCATCTACGCTAAACTATGTGGATGGAAAAATCTCCCTCTGGGCCAAGCTACAGTATCTTGCTAGTCGGCCCCGCTGGCTCTCAAAATACCTGAACAATCTGATTGGATGCAGGCATTGTTCAGGTGTTTCGAGAGCCAGCGGGGCCGACTAGCAAGATACTGAAGCTTGGCCCAGTGGGACATTCCTCCATTCACACAGTTTAGCGTAGATGGAGGAATCTGTTAAATTTTTTCCATCTGACCACAGAAAATCTGCAGATATTCTATAGGTGTATGACCAGCTTCAGCCTCAAAGCTAGAAAAAGTATGCACAGCAGGAGAGTCAGCGAAATGTCCTTATCTTGCATGCAGCTAGTGCAGATAAGGGTTAAAACTACTGATCCACAAATATTAAAACCTTTTGATCACTATAGCAGTCAGGCAGTTAAGGGAAGTCATTGATGTCCTTGTTTTGGAAATGCTGATTGCCTGGCAGTGGTCTTGATTGGTCTGATTTCACATGTTGCCTATTGTTTCACTTAAAGGAGAACTATGAGGCGAGTGCTTTTCACTCACCTCATAGTTCTAGCCGACCTGTGACAATGAAACTGTCACAGGTCGGCTCAGTAGATCGGGAGATGAGCAAACACATACCGGCGTTCGCTCACCTCTCGATCCTGTCACGGCTCTCTGCTGTGACAGGGGAGGGCTGGATTCCCCCCTCCCAGCTCCGATCCGCCAGCGCTGACTGGCAGAACGGACGGGGAGGGGGCGGGTACAGCTAGCTCTGCCTATAGATAGGCAGAGCCAGCTGTCAGTCACGCAGCTGGGCGGATCCAGACATAACTGTGGGGATCCGCTTCAGCTGCAGCGTCTTAGTATACAGCGAGCAGCTGCTCACGATATACTGCGGCGTCTCAGTATACCGCGAGCTACAGCTTGCGGTATACTGAGCCTAGGGTGACAGGAGGATGCTAGTTTGTGTCCTCCCATTACCCTAAGGAGAACTATGGGGAAAAGCCTTAACCCCATAGTTCTCCTTTAAGTTCTAATCTGCAAAATTGTGACAGGTATGTGTTTAAAAAAGTACTCAATTCTTTTTATCAGCCCAGTAACTAGCATTTTCTGAAGAAGTCAACAATGGCCCCCCACATTTCTTCAAGTTTTCCTTTAACACTTTTAACTTGTAAACAAATATCAGGCCGATCAGCTCTACATTATTATTATTATTATTATTATTATTATACAGGATTTATATAGCGCCAATAGTTTGCACAGCGCTTTACAATATAGCTGTGTTAAGTGCCCCCCCCCTAAACACTCTCCCACTTCCACCCTATGTGTGCCAACCTGTCTCTCCTGGGTACCTGGAATCTTCACAGCGGGTGTCATAATAGAGAGAGAGCGAGAGATCAGCAAACATCCACTCACTGAGCTCCCCTGGGTAATAAGAACTGGGAAGCACTCAGTCCTTTGCAAGAATAAGCTATCGATTTTTGGGTGCTCTGGCCTTGGAAGGAGCTGACTGAGCACAGTCTGTACTCTGTTAGCTTCAACACAATGTAGTGGTGACATTAGGGGGTCTAATAGACACCTTATGTTTCCTTAAAGAGAACCTATTGCCTGCACTTTACCATGACATAGGGGGCTTATCAGCTCCCTTGTGATAAGAATAAAGTCCAGTACAAAAAAAATAAAATAAAGCTTAATAGATTAAAAAACAACCCACATTTTTTTAAAATCTCCCCCCGCCTACATACACACACAAGCAAGCTCAAACATGCGCATCAGGCGACACGCATACAAAAACGCAAATTTCAGCACGCATATTAGGCATTGCTGTGCACGCTGCAGTGAGAGCAATAATTCTAGGCTCACCATTCGCTGTTAAAGCAAAGAAGATGAGCAGTAAAGGCTTTTAAATCGTCGCCTATGGAGAGTTTTGGGTACTGTAGGTTTTTGCCGTTTCACGGGCGTGCACATTTTAGAGGCTTGACATATTTTACCAAAACATGAACAGGGTTATTCACTAAAGGGTGAAGAGTTTGGAGAAGGCAGGGGAGGTGAACAATCTAGGACAACATAGCTGATTGGGAAAAACTCTTCAATTCAACTTACTTTCCAGTTCAGCTATGTTATCCTAGATTGTTCACTTCTCCAAACTCTTCACCCTTTAGTGACTAACCCTGTAAGCATTATATTGTGTTTTTGTGCACTAAATGTAATTTGAGTGTATTTGCTACCAAAAATATAGATTTGATAACATAGTCAAATTATTGTGACATACAAAATTGCAACTGCCACCACCTTATTTTCCAGGGTCTCAACTTTCAGAAAATATATAATCTTTTAGGGCTTTTATGTGATCTTCAGGCCTAAAATGTGCATTTCAACCTGTGTGCAAAAATTATATAATAAAATGGCTCCGGCAGCGTTAAATCACACTTGCAAATGAGGCAGATCGCATGAGTCTCAAGAATTCCTCATGCGATCTGCAGCGGATGGGAGATGCTGGACAATACAATAACAACTGTCACCTCCTGCGGCCATTCGCAAGTAATCGCACATGCTGTGATTACTTTGCAGATGACCTGGATGCAAATAGTCTGCAACCAGGGGTGATTGTCAGCAGTGACAAAACATTTCACTGTACCTACAGAAGGATTAGTCTGCAGAAGTTACAAAAAGGATCTGGACAGTAACCTTCTATAAAAATATTTTATTAATCCCAAAAAGTTATCAAAAGCGAAACATGAAAAATAATCATATTGCACCTTGCCCAAAAAAAAACACCACTTAAAAAATAATTGACAACGTTGTGATTGTCAGCAGGTAGTCGCAGCATGTATGATTACATGGGAACTGTCCCGAACAGTCGTATTGAACAACGCCTCTAGCCCACAGCTGATCACTTGAGTCTCACGGGGGAATTTGGGAGAGTTATGCGATGGGCCCCATTTACAAGTGTGAATGGTGCCTACAGAAAACTTGTCATGGAGGAAACACGGTGGCTGGCACCATAGAGTTTCTTTAGGTTTGTTATTCCTTTCTTCTTCTTATCAACCCTGGGCTACAGTATATGGTTATCTGCCATGGTACCCATGTTACATTTATTCTGTCTAATTTCAGGACAGTGACCTGTACTACAGTACTGTATGTGAATTCAATGTGAATATATGTATATATGAGGGCTTCTTGTTAATAATTCTGTGTCTGTTTAAAACAGGAATCAGCTGCTCAAAAAGCTGTCCAGGCTATAAACTCAGCTTTTGGTGTACGGTATAGACATGGTCCAGTAGCATCTACTCTATGTGAGTATTTTCTGGTCATAAACTGTGGCCTTCTATAAATTCAATATGTAACTGTAATAAAGTATATCTACCTGAAAATCTTTCAGTAGTAAGCTTTACCATCTGTTTGTGTACACTAAACACAGCCAAGGCATAATTTAGGAAAAAGACAACTTCGCTTAGTGCATATTGGCATGTTTATAGTAGATCCACATACCTCCCAGCTGTCCCTCATACGGAACCAAATCTTTTTGTCCCTCTTTCCTCCTCAGTTTTCCCTCTTTTTGGTCTGATGTACAGATATCTATGAAAAAGTGCTATTCAACCACCAAATGTGTTATATTGCTGCACCTTTCTGTTCTCTCTGAATTATCTTCTTTGCTATTTTTTAGGGCTGTGCAAATTAACGATAAATTTCTCGATTTAATCTTTTTGATCGATTGATCGATTAATTTTTTTTTTGAAACTCTCTGCACGAGCGCCAGCCAAGGCATTGGCCTTTACACATACAGCACAGCAATGAAGTCATACAATGAACTAGGATCACACTAATCCAGCACGTTATTATTCTGAGTTGCCCCACTCAAGTGGCGGCCATATTGAGTGGGGCACGTGAGATTAATAACGTGCTGGATTAGTGTGATCCTAGTTCATTGTACGACTTCATTGCTGTGCTGTACGTGTATAGGCCAATGTAGTTGGATCTGTATGTGCATTATAATTAAATCGAAATTAATCAATTAATCAATTTTAAAAAATTTCGATCAATCGAACACAAAAATTTTAATCATTACCAGCCCTACTATTTTTATAAATAAAACTTACAGTGAAAAAAAATAAATTCTGGGTTTAATCAATAATTTTGGCCATATAAATTCTTAGTGGTCCGCATAACTGGAGGCAGAGGTGTGTTCATTGTCTAAATATAATGTGCTGGAAGGTGTATCTCTTTTTCATCTCCCAGTTGGGTGGTATGGATCCATGAGTCTTCACACTTGGAGCCTGCACAGATTTTCCATTAACTTCACCATTGCCTTGAATTGGATATGCAAATACTGACTTATCCTGCAAAAGCCTATGGATGGCACTCCTACCCGCCCCTGAATCACTTCTGAGTCCTTCCATTATGCTTAAAGTGAACCTGTGATTTGGCCATACAAGGAGCTTACATAGGGCTAAGGGTTTGTGCCTTGCCCCCAAGTGACATCGCTGGTGCCTGATGATTGGCTAATCAGGCACTTAACACTGCACTGTGGGAGGAAGGGGAGGGAGACATATGTTCTCTATGTCCAAAAGTACCAGTGAGGTACATTTAGATTAACCTGTTGCTTTGCTCAACATGTGAAAAAAACAGGTTTACATTGAGACCAATAGTAAGGTGAGAAAGGACAAACTGGTATTTGAATATGAGTGCAGCCCGGTTTTGGGTGCCTCGAGGCTCTTATGAAGGTAATGAATGATATGTGCAGGTACATGAGTGTACCTGTACATCATGTAAAATGTCATCTGTTTATTCATTTGATTTAAAGCCTTCTAAAAAGGGAAGGAGCAAAATACCCTATTTGACCAAAAGATGGTGGACACCTGACCACCCCACCTATATACGCTTGTTGGACATTCCATTCCTGAACTATGGGCAGTAAAATGCAGTTGCCCCCACCAATTTGTGGCTATAAAAGCCTTCACACCCCTGGGAAGACTCTCCAAAAGATTTTGCAGCGTGATTTAGGACCTAACTAAACTATTCACTCCATCTGTAGCCAATAATGCAGGCCCTCACACTACATAGTTGTTGGCAGATCTAAGGGAGCTTTAACAGTCAGATTGTAACGTGGTTGGTGAGCTGTACCAAAATAGCTTAGGTGTAATGGTCAGAAGTCCCAAACTTTTAGGTATATATTGAACATAACAAATGCACTGTTTATTATTTTACAAGTATTTCATACTTAGCTTATTCTTAAAGTAGACCAGTAGCTATGCCTTGGTCATATGATTGTAGCAGAAAAGGAGGGGGGCAGAGTTCAAGCAAACTGGATGATTATCTGAGTTGGACCCTTTTAACTGAGATCACAGGACCATTGCCTAAACATGCAGCAATTTCACAATACAATTTTAGCAAACATTTTACCTTGTAAGTGTTACATTTGGTAATTCACAAATATACAAAAAAATTTGTGTTTCAGATCTGAGTTCTGGAAGCTCCGTTGATTGGGCTTATAATAATGGTATACCATATTCATTTGCATTTGAACTTCGCGACACTGGATATTATGGATTTCTCCTTCCAGATGGCCTCATTCGACCCACTTGTATAGAGACAATGTTAGCAGTTAAAAATATCACAATGCACTTACTGAAGAAATGCCGTTAAAAGTCAGATGTGTAAGAGCTGTACATCTTCATGGGGAACTGTAGTCTTTTTGAAGATGAACTTCAGGCATACATTAAAAAACAACCTTTTATTCCAGTTATGTATTCATTTAAAGAACCTGCATTTTATGAATCTAATGCACATCATGCAATCCCCTGCGTAGAAGCAGCCTGGTGGAGGGAGTCTGAGCCAATTAAGGCTTTAGGGCTAGCTTATTTCTGCCAGTTGACATAGTGCTTTTTTTCCTTCATTGTCCAAATACATGCTGGTATGGGTGCAGAACCAGGCTTTATTGATAAACAGCAGTCCAGTCTGCAAGGAGGCACAGGACCTTGATGTGCTGTTTGGCAGTGGTGACCTGACCCCAAGACTGGCTGAACAGAATTACAAATCTTTATGCTGTTAAACAGTTCACATGTCTGCATTTTAAATGTGTATTTAGCTGTTAGCCTGTAGTTGTATTGTAAAGCTTTTTTGCTATACATAAGAAAAAGACTAATGTAAATGTAAATAACCTTCTCACTGTGTAACGATTTTTAAACCTCTTGTTTATATGTTAAGTTTTAATTCTGTATGTATATTGGGGCAGCCATATTTGCTAATGTAACATAGAGATTCTGCTTCCTGTTTGTGCTTTGATGATTTTCTTATCTCACTGCAAGCAGGGTCTGACTGACTGAAAGCAATAGGTAGCCAGAGACCACGTCATCTTTTTTTTTTACCGCGAAGGAACCCTTGAAATAATTTTCAGGTCTCAGGAAATCCCTGCAACAAAATATATTTTATTTACAGCTTACAGTACATTAGCATGATCACTAAATTGTAGATATAATTCTAAAATCCATGCTCTGTAAAATCATGAAATTAAGATGAAACAAAACAATAATGACCAGAAAAAGAAAAGCAGACAATTGCAATGTCCCCTTTCATTGGAAGTCAGTTGAGAAGGCCCTCCCTTACATTGGTGGCCAGTATGAAAAGGCCCTCCCTTACATTGGCGGCCAGTGGAGAAGGCCCTCTCTTACATTGGTGGCCAGTGGAGAAGGCCTTCTCTTACATTGGTGGTAAGTGTAGAAGGCCCATGATTATGGTCAGTGGGACACAGGCCCTCCGCACTGGTGGATATTTGGAAGAAGGATGTCCTTTACATCAGTAGTTATATCAGTTGTTAGTGAAGGAACTCCTAGCAACTGTTGTAGCACCCTGTGCAATAAGCCTGATCTAGGCTTTAGCTCACAGAGAGCAGGGTATAGCTCACAGAAACCCTGAGAGCAGGGTTTAATTAGATATTTTAAAAAACAGTCATGATTTGGTAATGTAGTCTACTGATTCATGTAAAATGTGAATTTAGTGATAGGCCCATTTTCATTTAGACCTGAATGATATCTGTATAACTTATAATTATGCTCCCATAGCTTCATAGTTTGAAGTTATTCTGCACGCCTATACTTTTGCTGGGAGCTTCTGCTAGTCACTTATCCTAGCTGGCAATTCAGAGGTGGAGCGGGCAATGCACCCCTAACTATTGCCCCCCAACTGTTCACTTGAGTGATCCCATATCCAATCTCTAGCGCAAACAAAATATAATTTGGTTATACTAGAAGAAAGATATTAAACCCTTCCTGACAAACCCGTATCCGAGGTAATCTGATATACACTGACACATGTTCATTTACATCCAACTCCCGATAGACCAAAATAGGTCCAATAATTTAATTTTTTTCCTCCATCGCAAGATCTGCTCCAATCAGAACTGAATTGCTCCAATCTGTATTGAACTCATGAGAACTGAAGGCACCCGTGGAAAGGGGCTTTACCGTAATACTGTATGTCTTACTACAGTGGAGGTGCTCTTAAGATACCATGAGGAATAGTTCTATGTTTTTTTTTATTCAAAGAGGGTGTGTTTTTTTGCCAATACATTGTATTTTTATATGTGCATTGTTCTGTAAAGGTGAATAAATAGGAAAAATTGTAAGTTTATAAAGTGCAGATTACATAGTTTTAGAAACTGAACTGAGGAATCAAGTGGTTAGCTGCCTACAGTGCGTTTTCAGCTACAAAAATGTCTTCAATTGTGACTTTAATGCTTATATATGTAAACTGTGTCATATCACAGCTATGTTTTGTGCTCACATTAGATCAAAGCTAGGCATTTGGTGCTAAAAAGAGGGACAAAGGGTATTTGAAATTCGGAAAGACTCTTTTGTGTGATGAGTTAACATAGGTACCACAGCAAATAAATAATAATATACTCTGATGAAAACTTTGTCCCATAAAGTATGAGTCCCTGCTGATGAGTCATCAACTTGCATGTATAAACTGAAGCTTGAGATACTGAGGTCTGTAAACAGACTTTTTACAAGAGACTGTAACAAGTTAACATATCAGTGTATGTAAGGGAGCCAAGACCTTCAATTGCTGGTCAAAAATAAGATTAATTGATGTGCGTTTAGCATGCAACATCCGCATGTAATCGTACATGGTATGATTATCTGCAGATTGGGAGATACATTTGTCCCGAAACGCAAGCTCTCTGCGTCCAGGCACAAACATCTCTACCATTTAATTTTAATAGGAATGTACTGTAAACATTCACGTTTATGGTAAACATTGAAGTAAACACAATTAACAAAATTGTTAAAATCAAAGATTTTGTGATTTTGAGCTTCTTAAAAATTTAGGACAAAATATATTATTTGCCAAATTTCAGTATCACATGGCACTGAGTTAAGGGCCTGAAATATCATGTAATGGATGTAAGAAACCATTTTACTTCTGGCGGCAGCCCCGTGTGTATTAAATACATTTTAGTGATTGTATTGCTCCGGCTGTGGGAACAGAAATATATTTTCTGTGCTTGATATTCAGGCTCGTTCTTTTTCTTTCTGTCATATACTAATTTCATATCAAAGGAAAGTACATGTACGTTTGCCAGTTGCAGCCCAATCAAGCTTTTATTTTGTTTTCTGCAGTATAAAAAATTGAAGCAAAGATTTGTCCTGCCTTGAGCAGCAATATCAAAGTTTGTGTGGCACTAAGGGTAACTATTGGTTCACAAAAATGACAGTAAATATAACCCAAAATAAATTCTTGTTATGTAGTAAAAGAAGAATCCGGCCGCACTCCACTCCACTCCACTCCACGTGGATATGGAAGGGGAGGGGGGTAGCAAAACATTAAATTTTTACTGTAGAAATACATGTCTAGCTGCTACACCGCCATGATCTTTGTTGCATTGAATTAAAATTCAAGGAGCTCCGATCAGTAAAGGTTTCTTTCAGCAGAGGTCCAAATCTCATGTTTGTGCTTTGACTCCATTAGAGTGCCCCCTTACATTAGTTGTCCCCATCAGAATGCCCTCTTCCATTAGGTGTCCACATCAGAGTGCCTCTTACATTAGTGTCCTCCATCAGAGTGGCCCCTTACATTAGTAACTAATGTAGGGGCCACTCTGATGGGGACAAGTAATGAGAGTGCCCCTTCCATTAGTTGCCCCCATCAAACTGCCCCCTTACATTAGGTGTCCCTATCTGAATGCCCCCTTACATTAGGTGTCCCCATCAGAGTACCCCTTTACAATAGTTGTCTACAACAGAGTGCTCCTTTTAAATTAGTTATCGACATCAGAATGCCCCTTATATTAGTTGACTACAGAGGAAGGGGCACGTGAAGTTACTGAATTGTTAGGACGCCGGGGGTTCTAGCATGCAATGACCGCAAAGGCCATGGTGCTATACCCACAGTAAAGATGAAATACAGAAGTAATACAGTATATAACCAGACATTGACCTGAACGGGTGATTGTACGTGCAACAGGAAAACCCACCCATATATACAGTATTTATAATGCATATAAAAATAATATTAGGGGACCTGAATGTAATATAAATATTTAGCAAAAATTCCTCACATTTAATAACAGCAAGTTATAAGGATGTGGCAATAGGTCATCAAATATTCCACATCATAGTTAGAGTGCTCATACACTATCCAGTCTTATCAAGTAGCATGCCTAGTTCAAGCATCTCTTGTGATAATCAGGCTGTGTAGAGGTTCCCCGGGGTGCAATAGCGAATGCTATACTTGTTATTGCCCAACGAGATTTTCCAATTTGTGCAAAGGCTGCTGATCATTCCAAGCACACTCTGCTGACACCAAACATGCAGCTGTCACCAGTGAAGTCACAAAGCAATCAAGGATCATCCCATGTATCATTGCCCTTAAACTCATCTGTCATTTTATATATGGAAAGTGCAGTGATACTGCATGAGCCACAGATTACTCGGTTTAATTCTGCAGCTTCTGTACAGCCAATATGACTCCGGCATACAGATTGGTGGGATGGGGTGGGTGATCTGATAACATCAATAGCAGAAATATTTGAATAAGGAACATTGCACATTCAAAGGATGCTTTATGGTCTGTTCTAAGCCCAAATATTAGACAAAGAGGAATAAAAATACTGTTGACTGGCTCAAGCTTCAGGCCCCGTTTTGTATTGCCAACGTTTGTGTTAGATCATTATTCATTTCATGAAAATGCATGTGTATTAGAAGAGGCGCCATTACACAATGACATCTTGCTAAGCCACATCTTCCAGTCTTTTCTTTATTATAAATACATATTTATCACAAATAGCTTAGAGCATATAGTGGTGTTCACAATCCTGTTATTCTGCAGCACATCAAATGGACGGAAATCAGCAGCACACGTTTCGGGGCCACTTTATTGGGCAACAATGTAACAAGCTTGTCACATTGTTGCCCTGATGAAAGGTCCCTGCGTGGCCCCGAAACGTCGGTTATGGTTATTGCGACATGTATGACGATTTGCCGATTAAATGGACTTTATCATTCGAACATCTTCTACTGAGTGCAGGTGATTTTTGTTCATTTGCTGTCTGATGTGCACGGCCCCATCCGTATCACTGCAAGCACCATCATTACAATTTTGGCCGGAGATGCTGTAAGGAGTGCAGGGGGACATACCTGTTTTCAATTCTGCAGCACATGACATGTTGGACATGCACGACAATCAGCAGTCAGTTAAATAACCAG